GTGAGTAAAAAATAAGCAGATGCTCATCTATCGTCCAATCTATATTGACAAGATTGGATCAACTTGTAGCAACCCTGACCAAAACAAATAACCATTGCAAGAGCACAAGGTTGAACCTTTTCTAACTATTTTTTTTTTGCATACTCCCAACATTTTTTTCTGCTTCTCTGCATTTTCCTATTCATCATCGGAAAAATGTTGACGATCGCAAGAAATGCCATCGTAAAGATTATTATTCATGAGAAGAGATAATCTTCCTCGATATGCGTATATCCAGTATACGAGTATAGAGAGAGAGAGAGAGTAGAGTACTGTCGCATCGCTCTCTTATAAGCAGCTATACTCGTGTAGACAGTTCCCGTTGCAAAGTTAATTATTGTTGTCATGATAATGTTGTACTAGTGCTAGGCACGACTAGAGGTGTTGTATACGTTAGTGTGGTAAACATTAGCAGTCAATGAATAGTTAATTATATCATTGGCCATCGATGATTGATTTGTCTATAATAAATTAATCAGTAATTATTATGTAGTAACAACTGATAACCTTAGCGATTAGTCACTGATTCATATTGCAATCTGCCTTTATCTAGGAAGTCATTGAGACCTTATCTCGACTTGACTTTGTTCGTCTTGGCGACAGTCTGACGGGTGAAAAAAAAAAATTATTAGCAAACTAGGCAAGTTGTTGTCTACCCCATTTGGTCCAACTTTCATCTTGAAAAGAATCGATAGGGAAAAGAGAATTGCATATCATTATCATCGAAGAGCTAGCCATTACAACCCCAGTCAAAGCCAACTTCTACACTAGGTAACTACGCTCTCTTTTCCCTCCCTCCCCCCACATTATTGATAAACATAAATTGACGCAACGATCAGTGGCTTTCTTACGGGTGTAGTAGACGTCAATCGATAACAGCATAATCGGTTAGAATGGGATAGATAGCTTTTAATGTGAACAATTTTATAATCGACGTATAAATTAATGTGATCATCAATAGGTCGTTGATACAACATCAATCTAGGCAGCATATGCATTCTTACCGCCTTTTAAATCAGTTATAAAAATTTGAAATGACTTGATGTTGCAAATAGGCTATACAGGATATGAATATCCATATCAATTGATTTATTTATCGTTAGACAGTCAAAGCAAAACTTCTCCAAGATAGAATTGTACCTGTAAAGTCCAAAGAAATTGAATCAACCTGGTTATACCGCACTCTCCTCGGTCCGTGCCTTCTTGGTTTCTACATTACAAAGTGATGCCTTGTGAAATCGATATGAGTGGGGCACAAGACGAGTCGAAAGAATATGGAGAAAGTAGCGATAGACGTAACATGGTAAGTCCATCTTATCGATCGATAAGGATAGTACAACAACGCAATGTCCTGCTACACAGTGGATCACTTTACTCGAAGTGATGACATCTTTAGTATTTATAGTCGCTAAACGCGGTATTTTAATCGTCGGTTTTTACTTAACTTCGACAAGATGCGCTAAGTTTCTCTTAGTACAGTATAACACAGGATAATGGTGCAGTAGAATGATATCAATTAGAATGCATTCGCTCGAACGTTGTCGCCCGTCATGATAATTATACATTATCCAAGATCACATAATGTAAATTATTGCCGAGTATTTTATTACACCATCAAAAGATACTCTTTATCTGCACGTATACAAAATGTATGTCCATAACACAGGTAACTTTCCCTCTTGTTAGCTTTTTTTAACTGTAAGTAGAAACTATTCCAGAATTTTTTTTTTCAAATTATATATACATTTATGATGGTTTCCTGACGTTAAAATCGAGCTGTTATTTCTAGCGATAGTCAATTTTTCAGAGTTGCTACCTTTTCACCATACACGTTAATCAGACACTTTCTCCTATCGAAGAGATTTTAATAGACTTACTTATCACTCGTGCAATCTTTTATGGAGTATTTGATAAAAGTACAATTCTCACCTGTGGTGTTCTCAATAGTGTGGACAGATGCTATCTTAGGCGATCGTGAGAATTAACTAAAATATATCATGTTATGATTCTTTTTTTTGAATAGAAATTACTGCCTAGGAAAAGATCCAAATATATGCAACCAGGTAAAAACAGGCTTTGCATATTTTTCTTCGTGTTTGATATGTTTTGTAGACGTACAATCTCTTCTGTTCGCGTGGATGTGCACGTATCAGTCTTGGTCTCTTATTTTTATGTTTGTACACTCCCTAAGATCATACGGTACAAGGGCAGGGATAGTAAAAGGGAAGGATAAGTACCACAATTTTATAGTCTATAGGGAATGTAATACTGTTAAAAGAGGATAGCTTCTCGATAACTTTACGATAAGTGCGATAGAATTTGTGTCAAGCATCCAATCAAGTAATCAAACTTTGTATCCACTAAGTGTATTGGAAGAAATCATAAATCGAAATCAATTACGCTCTGTGACCATCAAGTTGTTATAATATACTCGTATGCGCAACGTCTAGACTAAATCAACTTCTGACTATTTTATTTACCGTCAAGACAAGCTGCTGCAACGATGATTACTCAAATTTTCTTTTCTACCCGTCCTACTGTAGAGAAAAAATTTCTGTCAATACTTGTCTTGATTGATCTAGATACTCGATAATGAACTGATTAATTAGTGAGGCTATTAGGTTAAATACGGTATGCATCATCATAACTATAACGGCATCCTTACTCGACTTTTTTTTCAGTCATGTTTACGGTAAACCCTGAACTTAAGTTATCGATTGATTTGTACTGATACTCTTTCAATCGACCGGCGAATTTACCACTTGTTGCTTTATTAGGTTCTATTCGTTTTACTATTGATCACTCGCGACTCCTGATTTAGTAAACATAGAATTCCATTTATTTAGAGTGTAGAAGTTCATTAAAAATCAGTGAAGTCGAAGTGGAGGAAAGTAGAATCTTGGGATTGATACCAACTTTTGTCATATCGATAAACAGTACTATAAGTTCTGTAACCATTCTATGCGCATCTCTTCACGTACAGTATTTCGTTACGTTTTTAGCTAAAATTGGATCGTCTATTTTCTATATGTTCCGCCTATTCGCGCCCAGACATACTCTAACTTAATTTACTAACTGTAGAATCAAATTTAAGATCAGGCCTGTTCGAGTACAGGGACTATTATTATTCTCAGCGCCTGCAATAGATAAAAATGATTTTACAACTGCAGGCATTGTTTTTGCTTGAGGTATACTTTCGTTCTCCTTACCTTTGATTAAAGTTTTGCTGTCATGATTTCTACTAGCGTTTATTGCCTATAATTGTAATCAGTAATTGCTCTTACCATTGTACAATCTCGGATATCTACTTAATTAAGCTCTGTATTATTTTTATTAACACTTCCTGAATAATGCTGAAGTAACCACCGCGATTTAATTGAGCTATCGTAATTATTATTGCAGAAATATTAAACGCACTTGTTTATGATTTCTACTACAGCAAAGGACTGCTTTTATTTTTGTAACCTTTTAAATCAGCTTCAGTACACATAATCGATTATTTATAATTTTTTCACAAGCAAGACGCACATTTTATATATACTGCCGATTCGAATTTGTCATTGCCACTGAGAGAGAGCAGATTTACTTACGATCACCTAGAATGAGTAATGTGTAGTAAAATAGATAGATAATTCTGTATGCGTGCTATCACTCAAATTACAGTATTTCCTTAGGTTATAACTGAATTAAAAATACACCGCATTTTATAGATTTAACGGTAAACATTTCAGTAACTAAGTACTGTAATGCATTACTAATCATGGTATCATTTGTTGACTGTTCCAGTATGTGCATTTTTCATATTTAACTGTTATATTATTAGTATAATACTTCTCACAGGAAGAGTAGATATGATATATCCTTTGTTGCGAGAATACTGTCATTTTTTTGAATAGCATAACTAACTATAACTTCACCTTTTAAATGGCTATGTATTTCATAGAATATCTGGAATCTCAAATCTTCGATCATTCCTCCGTTGAAATTAGTGATCTTGCAAACGACTGCATTAACGAACTTGAAGTAAACTCTAATCGCCATGACAGTAATAATCTCGTGAGTTTTTAGTAAACAGTTTAATTAATTAATATACAAACTTGCTACAACTTAATTTTAATTTTATTCTTATACAGAATTGTAATAGTCCAATGAATCATTTGTTTCGATTTCATCAACCCTATACCGACGGTTTGATGGGTCGGGATGGAGTTATACCTTCTCTTAGCACTCCGCCTGGGCCATATGATATGAGAAGCCCCAAAACTGGTCATACACCTGGTGAATTAATGTCCCCTATGGACTTTGCGAGGAACAACAGCTACTTTGGACAACATATCCTGTAAATTAATTAGATTTCACTGTTGCTTTAGTTTTAAAATCATAATACTATGCTCATACCATGCAATATCGCACCGCTATTTTACAGTCATCCTTTACAACCAAGCCCGACATCTATTCCTAGTTACTACCCTAGTTATCGAGGATCAGTTTCGCCGCCATTTCATCACACCGGTTTATCACCTGATACTACTCATCCTAGTTATTTACGTGGTCCTTTTCACTCGCCTCTTAGTCAAGGTCCAATTGTGGCTTTAAATAACGATGGGCAATTAAATCCAGCTAATTTTCAAGCATCTATTAATAAGTAAATATATGCTGTCTCTTAAATACGTATTCTTATGTGACTAAAATACTTGCTTTAAAGGAGGTTTAATATTAATTTACTCCTATGGAATTAGTTCTCTCAATGTAGGCGAATGTATGAATGGGAATGGGATATCACATAACATGGCCAACTTGTCACCAAGTAATGAAAGATTTTGTTATATAGTCGTAGTTGGTGTATGTATTACTTGTAGTAATAATTATTAACGATGCTCAACTAAGCTGAGTTTCATTACGCGCTTCAATTAGATGCTAGAAGAGATGAGAATAAGAAGCCTCATATTAAAAAGCCATTAAACGCTTTCATGCTATTTATGAAAGAAATGAGGCCGGCTATTGCTAATGAGTCCGGTCTAAAAGAAAGTGCTGCCATTAATAAAAAACTTGGAGAGCAGGTTCGTACTATCGTTGATTGTAATATAAGCATTATATTGTGCCTTTACAATTAGTTCAAGATTATACTCAAATATAACGTTAGTAGTATTGTGAAAGTTATCGGCGTCTTAACTAGATTATGTATGTCTATAATTTGATAGTGGCATTCCTTGGATAAAGAAGAGCAACAAAAATATTACGATTTAGCTCATGAAGAACGAACATCACATATGAAAAAATATCCTAATTGGAGTGCACGAGATAATTATGCTCGTCGCAGTCGAAAGAAGAAGAAGAGAAAGGATAAGATGCAAGCTGACTCAGGTACTGTAATACAGTACTTTAATACTAATTGATTGTAAAGATGATTGCAATAGTTAACCTACCTGCAAATGGGCTTGTTCAACTACGAACTTGTAGGATTTAGAATAAAGACGTACAGTACTCATATTTAGACGTGATGACTGATGGTTAGTCGTATCATAACATTGTTATAGAATCGGTCGCAACATTCGGAATCTTTCATGCTCTATATACTCTAGACCCAGTAATGTAGCGGAGTAATAAAATACGGAGCGATTATTAATAAACATGAGCTTATTCGGACAATAAAGGATAAAATTGTTAGCAATTATTATAAAATTCCAGTTGAATGTATACCGTTACTCCATTACTTTTCTCGAAACAATTTAAATATAATTAATTTGCCACATGATCAGACATAATTAAACTTTCCGTATGAAAATAACGCTATTATTACGAGTAAAAAACATCAAGTGTTAATAATTATACCATTATCAATGTTAGTTCATGCCTTTATAGCTGATACGGTTTATAGTAAGTAAGCACTGGCAAAATAACCGCGATAAGTTATACAGTTAGTCAGCTAAATATATATTTTCTACGTAAATGCAAGAGATGGACTGTAAAAGTAATCACTAAAATAATTTTGCAACTTAGAATAAAGCATCTTAAATGAAAGTGATATTACCTAAGAGGCCACTCTTTATCAATACTAAATTTTAGATGGAAATACCACAAAGAAATGTAGGGCTAGATATGGTATTGAAAATACTGCAAAATGGTGTAAACCTTGCAGGTCAGTTTACGGCGAAAGTAAAGAAATTTCTTTTGCATACTGGAAGTAGGTCTATTGTTTATTTTACATGTTTATCTCCATTTATAACTCATAGGCGTAAGAAGAGATGCGAAAGATTCGGATCCACAGAAGCAGCTGGCACTGAAAGAGATGATTCAGTTGAAAGTGATTCCTAAAAATGGAAATTGAATAAAAATTATAGTTAATCATCAGTTTATTAGATATCCTGACATCCATTAGACAGCTTGCCTGCAATTTTGCGTCCATTTTGATTTGAATGTCATCATTCATGTTATCAATTTGTAAATATTTTGATACTAAACCTCTCGGAAGGACATTAACAACTTTTCTATAATGCCGTATTTGAAAAATCATATATTTTGTATTATACGGTTGGTAAAATTTTATAAACGAATGAGGAAACATTAAATAACCTATATCCAGTAGCAAATAAAATATTAAAACGATCTGCTTAGTACAATAATAATTTTTATACTGTCTTGGTCGATTTGTTAATTGTTACAAGTAGAACATCGATGTTCAATACTACTGTACTTTATGATAAAAAATTGGTCAATTTGACCTTTAAACTAAGTATCGTTGGCAATGTTCAAATCTTTTTCGGCCAGCATAATAATTATTCAAGCAGTAAACTTTTCAAATTGTAACTATGATGAAATGCTGACCGCACGTTGCTTGACTATATTTAAAAATAGTGATAGCTCTGTATAGCCTTGAAGTTTACTATATTGTAAAAGTATTAGAGACTGTTACAAAACTACTGGATATTTTGATAAATAAATTGGTAAACTATCGTCATGACTATTTCTTTATGTTATAACTCGTGAAAAATTTTGAAATAAATCAGTTATCCGATAATTTGTATGCTAAAACAGATTGGTTCATTCTCAAGCTAATACTTTTTATCCGCAATTAATTTTATATCCTGTAGGCAATACCTAGGGTGAATCAATGTTTAAGTTGTTACAACGTTTAATTAGCAAATATTACGCTCATACAGTAGAATCATCTGTAATATTATGGTTTAGTATACGTATTGTAATATGATCAAGTAAAATTAGCCTCGCAATTCGGATAGTCACATTTATTTCATTGAATTACATTGTAAAGAACTTACAGTATAACAATCCAGCTATTTACTGTCTATGTAGAAGCTATAGTGTTACGAAAACAACTTGGCTAATTACATGGTGAATCTATTGTAATATGGCGGTGGACTATGAATTCACTTTGAAATAAACTGTAAATGTGTGTAAAAATGCATTATGGCTATAGCACACTATTTATGACACAGGATTATCTCTGGTTAAAAAAATTGATTCGTTGATATTGGTCAAGTCAATGATGAAATAATATATTACGATTTCTACGGTTAGTTTGATCCTTCATGAGATAATTTATTGATTAAATTTATTTGACGATTATAGCTACAAACAGTTCACGGCCTTACAGATAAGATCTTAATAAAGTAATATATTGATCATTGATATCCAACCTACAGCAGCGAAAATGTTGTACGACATCTAATTTGCAATAATATCTTTATATAATATCATATATTACAGAAAGAAAGAATAATAATCTGTCAATATATATATTGCGACTGTTGAATACCAAACAGTGGGTTAATACGCTTTACATCATTGTACCTCGCTGTACGAATAATTACTTTTAGTATATTACATGAAATCATATCATAATATTATCAGAAGATGACCGATAATCATGTTGACCTTTTATTCCAAGTAATGAGTAGCACGGCGACTGTTAATTGCCATGATACCCTTTCTACGTCATTTCTAAAATATGAGTACTTGAACTTTAGATATATTTTAGAATACTTTGGACTATACGTTGGAGCTTTTATGTACTGGTCTGTAAATAAGTATAATCTGTCGTTATAGTAGAGTAGAGAGATAAAGTTAGGACTATAATAATGATAGGATTCAGCATTTTAACCTTATTTAAAAGGAAATGATACTTTTTTACTATAACATAAGATAAAATTCTTTATAGTCTGTTTCTATTTGACAAGCATGCCCGTAAAATTGATACGACGTAATTCTAGTTTATACATTAGACAATTTTTAAATTATTTTGGGTTATTAATCAAAGCCTCAATTTCCATTAATTTGCTGTATCTACAATAATCATATCAGAGTAATTTATTTTTTTGTCACAGCGAAGTAAATGATTAAAATAATGATTCCTATTATAACTAAGATGATAATTGCAACCATAATCTTGTGCTGCATCGCTCTAAAAAAATAAATAAAATGATTAAGTTAAAATAAGCTGAGTTTCATTACATAAAGATGTACTTAGATAGTTACCTTCTGTACATTCTCTGTAATACCCTATTGCTCTTGCTGAGATCCTGGTTTATTCCGCGTAGCTATAGTAAGGGACAAATTTTTAAATGCTACTAATCAAAAATTTATAAAATCTACCTCTAGTAAACGGCAAATTTAATCACTTAGAGATCCTCATGATCCGTAATTGAAAATTTTATGCAGATACATGTTGTAAATTAGAAAAGGTGAAATCTGCAATATACTTACTCTATCACGCGATCTCTTAATCTTCTCTCGATCACTATCCAAATTAGTCATTATATCAGCCCCTACTTGTTCTAATTAATTTAATTACAAGAGTTAACTACTTTCAAAAGTATCATTCTAATCAGGTATGGAGTATTTGGTAGTTTTAATTAATAGGGGATTACCTGTTTCTAAAGCTATTCTTAATCCATCATCTAATCTGTTATTGGACTTATTTATTCTGTCAGAGTTCTCTAGTAGGCGTGTTCTCTGCGGTTACAAAGAAAACACAAATATCATCAACAATAAAGAATCTACTATTGATGTAATCAAATAAATATAAAATTACTTCAAATATAATACCACTACATACTTGATCTTCTGAAGTATAGTTATAGTCTTCTTCACTTCCTAACAAACGAGTTCTTGCTGTAACAGAGTCCATTAAAGCAACACGAGCTTTCCGCTGTTAAATAGAAAAAGATAAATTAATAATTAATATGATTTTACCAAAGCAGTTTTTTACTGGAGACGGACATAAATCGACGATTGTGACTGCAGTTTAGCATAAGTTAAATAAAAGTAAATAGTTGCTTCCAAATCTTTTCAACTACTATTGCAGAATGGTTTTGTAATAGAGGTAAAATAATGGCTAGTAATAGGATAATACTATCATTTTACATAATTTAATTAATTTGAGATGTAGTAAAATGTCCAGCATTATTGAGCATGTACTTTTGATCTTGCTGTAGTTTAAATGGAGCACTTTCTAAATTATGAGTAAGTCGAACAAAAGAACATTCTACGCGTGATGTGGGTTGAATTCCAAATAAATGCTCGACAAAACGGCTTACAAAATCGAGCATCCCTCAATTTAACTTTCAAGATATTGATTTAGGCATAATTCAGATTACGGACGTCGATCTCATACTGTAGCTCTGTCAAACTATCGTCAACAAGAAGCTATTTCAGTTGTATTAGAGTGCATTACTGTTTATAAGCATAACAGAACGTATCAATAGTGTTAGATACAGTAAGGACAATAGTCCGATTTGTACCAAGTACATAAACACGGACTTCTAAGAAGAGGAAAGAAGTCTCTGATATCAATATACACAGGGGTTAAATAGCATAGCGCAAAATTCCACCTTGAATCATAATAAGCCTATCATCCTAATTCAGAAAGATTCCTAAGCTCAAAAGTTGATAGCATGTTATGGATTGTAAAATGCAGAAATTCTCTTACAAAGTTGGTCTCCAAATCCTTATATTCTGTATTGTAGTTGTTCCATTTTTTCGCCAATTCTGATCGAGCAGTGGAAGGAGCATCACGCACTTCCAAATCCATTTGCTCTATCTATATAATCATTCATGATAACAAGAGATATGTAGAATTTGTTTCGAATATTCAATTTAATTCAATTAGCTGGATAGGATAGGTACAAGCATAACAAAGACTTAAAAAGACAGTTTTAACGTTAAAGATGATGTGTCTGATTGATCATTTAGAACTCTTTTAGTTCTGCTTTACTATTTTCAGTGTCATTATCAAGTTTAATTTTGCGATTGATTTGAATAATTAGGTGTATGTATGTGACTTCTAGAGAAATTTATATGTAAAATGTTCCATTATGGATTATTAAGCGATTCTTTAGTAATTCATGGATAATTATATAATTGTAAACGGTAGGTGATGTGCTACAGCAGGATGACAAACTTAACATAGATCATATGAATAGTTAGAATAATACACCCAGTTTTGCTAAGCACGCGACATTAGTAATTGAATAGAAGCAAGGCTACACCATACATGGTTAGAAGAAGCTAGGTCATTGTCGCTGCTACTCTCTATTCACATAACAGTTATGTAGAATAACTCAAGGTACAGTACAGTCTATATGAAAGCGGAATATACCGTATGAAATTAGGATTATTTTTTAGCGTATACGCCTACAGTTGTATTGAGTACGTTCGCTATGTAAACCTAAGTAGAGTCTTCTACTAAAGTGAATCTATCTTATCCAAAAGGATGCAATTTAATTTTACGAAATAGCGTATTCAAGCATTGATATCAAGAGTAGGAATACATATTAAACTAAGATATAAAACTTATTCTTTTAACGTGGACGACTTTGAGTGCAGGGTATGGACGAGATGTAAGAAATTTTGATTATTTTAGATAGGTCAATGAAACCATGATTCCTGGTAAATACGCCATATGTCCAATATAGAAACTTACCAGTTCTTTCATATCCTCTAAACTGTGTTCACAGTCATGAATGACAGCCTTTTTCTCATCTACAAAGGACAAAGACATTGATATCAATTGATGTATTCAATATTAGTCTTAGCGATTTTAAACAACGTCGTTTCCACTCCTAGAACACCCTACCATGAAGGTTAAGCTGTGGGTAATACTACCTAGTATAGTGGTGACTACAACTATAATACGTACTGTATCCATTCAAAAATTGAAAATTGGCCTGCTCCATAACTCTATAATCATTCATGCTGAATTTTCTCCGTAGTTGTATAGGAAAAACTAGCCATACATCACTGAACAATCAAGTGATCAAAGTAAAGTATTTACAAGACTGTACTGACTCAGTGATATTGCAAAAAACTGCAAGAAAACTCTGGGATAAATAGCCTACAAGGACATTCATTAGCCTCTCGTGGATAGCAATATTGGCTCCAAGTGACTGTAGAATGCTTATTATGATTGATCATCATTGGACATTGTGAGATAATACATAGAATTGACCATCTTACCTCCATTTAAATTGGGTATACGATTGATCTTGTAGGAGATATCTGCTACTGAAGCAGAAAATTGTTGTTCGTAATTTTCAAACAAAGACATTGCACCTACAAATCGGGCATTCAAATTTTGTGCTTGGAAAAGAGGAAAAAGGACAAAAGCTGTTGGCCGGTTGTACCGATTGAGAGGGGAAACGCTGTACTTTTGAATTAGGGTTTACACTAGTTATTCTGTTTTCACTGACTCCAATCCTATGGCACAGTCCTGTACTGCCAGTAGTACAGTATATTATACAGTACTGTACAGTACGCGTGGTCAATACCGTACTGTACAATACATAGTACGGTATCCACTAGAGGTTCAAGAACAATTTTTCTTTCTTTTTCCTCAAGTGTAGAACTGATTAAAAAGGAAAAGTAACAAGCATACAGTACACTGTTTTACAACTGACTGGACATTGTACTGTTCAGTGTACATAGTAGTTTCTTATATTTTGTAATTATACAGCATTCTAGTGCTTAGAAAAGCAGTTTCAGGTGCTCCAATATAATTACGTAACTACAGTGTACAGTTGGTCAAACTTTGTAAAACCCTGCGTGTCCCTTCTGGCTCACCGTACTACAGTACTGTACTGTACAGTACAGTACTGTACTACATAGTGGTGTTACCCGAATAGTGAAGTGTTGATCAAGCAGCAGTCAGCAGCAAAATATAAAAGCGTAGTATGACATCATTAGACATCATCTGCGATCTTGGATATCATGTTAGTCTCTAGTGTACTGTACAGTACACTAGAGACCCGCTATACTGTATATACTACACTGTGCAGTTGGTCAAACTTTGTAAAACCCTGTGTGTCCCTTCTGGTTCACCGTACTACACATAGTACTGTACAGTACAGTAGTGTATGGTACTGTAATACTGGAACGTACTGTACACTGTACACTGTACAGTTGTACAGTACAGTTTGGACGTACTACGTAGTGGTGTGACCCGAATAGTGTACAGTACAGTAGTGTTGATCTTGCAACAGTCAGCTGTCAGCAGCAAGATATAAAAGTACGGTGGCTCACAAAGTTGTGAGCCACCGTATAAAAGCTTACTATAGTATGACATCATTAGACATCATCTACGAGCTCGGACATCATGTTTTGATTGATTTATTTGATATCACCATTTTTGAACTGGAATATTAGTCCAGAACGTACAAAAGTACTCACTAAGGTAGTCAGTGATGGGCTTCTCCATACACAAACTTGAAGTCAAGTGCTCAACAGAGTGTATGTTGCTGGCGACTTTTGGGCTAACTTCTTCCGAGTACAGATGCTAAAAAGGTTTTAAGGTTTTACATGGTGTATCTCAACCAATAGGAGATATACTGTATACGTGGTGGGCACCATTTTGGTTCAAATCAGGAGATTGACTTCACTACAGCAATAAAATAGTGCGAATGGGTAGCACTCGAAAGATGCGTATACTGTAATGAGTACGATACTCGTATCTAGCGACAGATTCTATTCATAGGATTTCATACCTACGGTAGAAAGTAAATAATAATATTACTGTATACAGTACATGAACAAAATAAAAGGAATCATGAATACAGTACGTAATACAGTACTATTAATAACTCCAAAAAAATGACATCATTGAGTAATGTTATCCAATAAACTCTCTCAAGTATTACCTGATGAAAATAAGAATAAAATGATTGCAAGCATTTTACTCCATTAATTTAAACCTGCACATTACTGTACTGTACAATTAATAGACGCAAATACGGCTAAATGTCAGCGTACAGTAAGAAGCATAATTTGTTGAGCTCTAAACATACGATATTATTATGTGCTGATCGATTCTGCCGGCAGTTCATTATAAAATTTTAAATGTCTGCAACAAGTCTCTTTATTGTATGTAAATGGTAACAGTTGGATAACAATGATAGAATATGAAAATATACATGGATCACTGGTAGAGAATTATTAACATTGTCTTATTTACCTTCGGTTTGTTACTCCATAATAAAAAAAAATGCCAAATCGTAGACCACATCGATTATATTAATCAAGCCAAGACGCAATCGGACAGGTTGTAATTAATATATTTTACCTTGAGTTTGTTTTGGAAATGATCGTTCAAAGTACTTGCGCCGATCCAAATCGATCACGAATGTGACACGTATGACGTATCAATATTCAAAGCTTTAGCAAGTGTGTGCAGTATTGGAGATGCAATGTAGTGTAATATAAGGTAAAGTAAAAAGTACAAGTACGGTACGTGAAGTATCACCAGCGAGGGCTCCACTAGTTAATATTAGGAAAGCTATCAAGGTATCTGAGGACCTTCTAGCAGGAAAGTGTGAGGACTATTGGAAGGTGAAGAGCTTTTCATTACCATGATAATTTCATAGACATCGAAAGTAGCTATTATATTAATGCTAACGAGTAAGTTAATTATTCAATACATTTCAACTTGAACAGAATATGCTAGTACGGGTATAATGCCCCAAAATTCTTAAAATTTAGAATATATTTTGAACAAGAGGGACAGCATAACCATTGTTCTACTTTAATCATATGGCCAAAAGTCAACATCCACTGATTTTATTGCGAGCAGATTTACATTCACAGGATACAAAATAATACGGCTGAAGATATAGGCATACGATATAGTAAAAACAGTAAATCGAATACTTTAAATTTTTCTGTCTCTACATAGAGAAACGTATATATATATATATTAACAAGTAAATTAAATTATACTATTTGCATCCGTGTATTGCAGAAACCCACATCAATTCGCAGTTATTATATACTTGTATAACTGTCTGAGACAATAGCATCGTTTTTGTTGGCATTAATAATCAATTTGAGTAAGCGACTATTCTATTTCACCGTTGGTATTGTATCCCAATGCAGTATCTACAGTACATTACATGACAGAAAAATCATGAAATTAAGCCTCATTTAGTAATTCGTAATAATATCTCCAACGTATGAGCATTGCGGAAATTTAAAATATTTCTCACATAATAAATACAAATCATACAAAGAGTTGGTGTTTCCTTGGATGCGTGTATTTGTAAAGTTATACTAGTAAGACCGTGAGTATTTACTAAAACATGCTGTAAGGTGGAGACCAGCGCCACACGCCTTCAATAGAAGAGTAGATCCACGCTTAACTTTTAATTGCAATACAATTGAGTGTCTTGACATTTCTATATCCAGATCCTTATCATCGTATATGCGTGTGATCATATGAACATTAAGGATGAATCATGACCTGGTAATACCAGGCAATAAGAACTCTGTAGTTGTTGCTAATCTTCCATAAACACATTCTCAACCTCATCAACGCTGAATTCGCGATTTCGCTTACGCTCTTTACTGGTTACCTTGGCTTTCGCTTTCACATGATGTCTCATGGCAGCCTGCTTTCGTAAAATTTTTCGGTATTCGTTGGGAGGATTGTAATTAGGATTTACAAATAACGTTGGACCTCCAAAGCTACCATCAAAGATGCGAATTAAATTTAGAGTAAATCTAGGGCCAATTTCCACCAAAGTGCCATCTTCTTCAACGATTTGGTAATTACGGAACCAAATTCTTTCGTCTAATAATGAGAATGAAAAAACGTGATCGACAAAGGGCTTGGAGCGAGGGTGATTTTGTGGAGTACTAAAAACTTGAGTAAAAAGTTCCTGCAATAAAGAATAATGCGGCGACGTAGAAAAGCCTTTATCAAACGATACAATAGGTCTGGAACCTTTCAGACAATTACCAGTCATCTTCAATTCATCCATGGTGTGTACATTTTCGACAAGAAATTTAGCTGATGGTCCATGAGGTATATTACTTATCCACAGGTAAGCATCTTGCTTCTTTTTAACTTGAAAAAATAGGCACTTTGTGCAGTTTTTTAGCTCACAAATTTCATTAATGACGCGTAATTCATCACGATTTTCTAATTTATTGTCAGACTTAGAGTGTGGAATTAAACATCTGAGATCGTTCATTAGATGGCGTATCCCGTATGTGATGCCTCTAGCTGAAAAAATTAGTATTCGTTGCTTATTCGTCCATTTTTGCACGATCTTGTTCTCATCTTGCTCCTCTGCGTGATCTTCTTTGCTTCTTTTGACCTTCTTAACAGGGTCGCCTTGTTTTAAGTTTTCTTTTCTTTTTTTACCCATTTAAATGCGCTAATAAGGTTTATGATGGTTTATAGTACAAGTAAAAGATAATATACCTAGAAAACGATATTAATAATTGTAATTGTTCAAACTGATAGGGCATGTCCAACGCTGCTGTCAGCTCCAGGTCGTTAGCTTTTGCAAGCAATGCAGAAATGTCCAGTACTGTACGCACGTGTGCCGATTATACTGTACTACAGTGCATACTTCAACATGGTACTGGCTACTGGTAATAATGCGCTGTACAGTACAGTACTGTACTGTACATGGACTAATACTAGAGGTACTGTACAGTACTGTACTGTACAATACTTCCATTTCTTGTGGTCCATGACTATTCAGTCCACTGACACAAATTCTTCTCTCCACTATAAATATTGTGCTGTAGCTCCTCAATCGGATTGTAGTCTAGTAGTGGAATTGTTGTGATTTAACGCAGTTTATTCCTAATATTAATCAATTTATCCGTTCACAAACACAAGCAAATGGTAAACGTCTTGAAGGGAGTGTTGGTTGAATGGTAAGTCTTTATTATAATATCGATTCCACGTAAAATAGGCACAACAAAGAATTTTAGCTATACAGTAGTTAACGACAAAAATACAGTTTATGCTAGCAACTTTTAAAGATATATATGTTACTGTAATGTAGTGGAGTTCTCTCCATCATAAATTGATATACTAGTTTATACCTTATGTCTGACTTTGTTACGGATTCTATAACATGTAGTCTTAAGTTATTACGAAACATAACTACAAAATCGAACAATTATACGCGTATAATGAATGATTACGAGTGGGGACTACAGTACAGTAGTTCGTGGTGTTGCTCGTTTGAGTTGAAACTTGAAGGATGAAGAACTACTGTACCTGCACTAATTACTCACTGCACAATGGACTGATACTTTAGAATTGACCATTTCAAATTCACAATTAATGATCCAACATGCGATTCAGTATGGATTAGAAAGTATTCAGTTAGTAGCGAATATTATACTGCACAATAGGCCCAGCCATAATAAGTCCGATTACTCAGATACTGCACAATAGATAAATGACTATCTACAGTTGTGTTGTATCGTTGAATTATATGATGGTGGACCTTATTTATAAAATACAATATTTATAAAAACTAGTGCACACCCTGCTTGTTACATTAATAAGGATCAAATAAATTGAGCAACATTGACAAGTTTGATGGAAATAAGATGTTGTGAATGATCGATGATAAAGCCTACGAGACCTTCTGTAGAAAAGAAGATACCTTTTAAAATGGATTCTACTGTACGTATACTTGTTTATTTTTAAGATTTCTTTCCGCCTCTAGTGATCCAACGGTGAAACAGTACTTACTGCACCTGGACGAAACCAATGCCCTTGGTCAAAAATTCGTTATTGAAGATTTAGATGATCAACATGTATTTGTCACAGCGGAGATCAAAGATACGTTAATGAAGAAGATTGATGCTATGATGGAGCAGTTATCTTACTCCTCGAGCGATAAGCAAGAAACCAAGTAGAATAAACACTCGGATAAAAAAATAATCTATCGCAAATGCTATTACTGTACAGTACTGTACATATATGTACCGCCCAGCATATTTTTGCTGCATAACTTGTATACGTTGTAAAGTTGAATAAATTATTGTCATTTTGGAGGACCTCTGATGATTAGTTAATGAATATGGCCGTTGACAATGATGTGATTGATGATTTACCATATAGCGCCGCATGAACACAAGCAAGCTGGGAACTAATGAAACAGATTTAAACGGTAACTAGCTTCTATGATAGCTTCGCGGGCGTTTACATTGCTATCTTAGTTTCTGATTAGTAAGTGATGGATCCATCTATCTTCTTAAGCAGTATAGGATTACCATAACATTGGTACATTAGTTGCCAGCACCGAATTGGTTTGAAAGATCAGCAAAATAATACTGCGTCTAAGAAGTTATTTGCCACCCTTTGAGAAAGACAAGTTTTGATAATTAATAATATTTTATTATCTATTCCTAATCCACGCCAATACTATTAGTAAGTAGTTGTAGTCTCGTAAGTTATACATCACAGTAGTCACACTATGAGAAAGTGAAGTTTTGATATTTAATGAAATTTTATTATCCATCCACTATCTACGCCAACACCATGAAGAGTTGTTTTCACATCATCGAGCTATCAAAATAAAAAATAGATAAAAATATGATACCAAAATTGATGATGTTTTGGAGATGTCATGTAATTATAGACTATTGATATTAGTTTACGACCCTTCTTCCAATCACTTCCCCAATTTTTTAAATAATATATAACCATTTTTGCACAACATTCATTATCTGTCATGAAGCTGTAAATACGATGTTTTTCCGACGTGAAGATTAATTACCAATAAATCGATGGGTTTATTTGTTTCAGATATCAAAATCTAGTTTTGATTTCTACCGATTACATTTTGTAGATTTACTGGCAAGGATAATATACAGTAAAAGAAAGTAAGAAATTATGTCCATCTAGATTTCTTACTGATTTCGAAATAATAAATTTCTTTTTAAAATCTTTACCGTAAATGCTTATTTGGATTATATTATACGCGGGGTGATGCTCTGGGGATAACAATATATTGTATCACCGTAAAGAAATTATTGGTATTACAATCAGCTAAGTTGGTTGTTAAGAAAATTTGTTAATGTATTGGAGAATCTTGTCGGCGGTTATTCTAGCAATACCAACTAATAGTAATCAGCAAATAAACAGGCGTGATTGAACGGCTACGAACTAAAAAATGGAAAAAGATCAATAAGCCTCTAGCTATTCAAAATATCAAACTTATTATCTTTGCGGCTGATATAAATAACATTGAAGACGTCATAATTTTGCCCAAGAAATATTTACCGTAAGCTCTTTTGTCATTACTGCAAATTTTGTATCGCAGCGAATCAGCAGAAAACGTTACAGGTACGAAACTCCATTTTTATTATAATTGGTGATTAACAACGATGACAGCGTAACATATGTAAGTCCTAAAAGTATGATTTAGCTGTTGAGCTCAAATACCATCAAGTGTCCTATTGTACCAATATCCTCGTTCATTTGTACCCGTACTGTTATCCCGGCGTATAGGAGTAATTTATAATTTACCTATTCTAAATTTAAAAAGAACATGCTCATTCTTAGCATTGTTGTTAAAGGTAAAATCTCCAAGTTTGACTGCACTATATATATATATATATGGGATATTATGCAAGTATGACTATACTGTACAAAACACTACAGGATAATTTACGTTTTGCTAATTAACTCTCATGCCGTAGAGATAACTAAATTCGTATTATTTACTTCAGCCGATTCTATCGATGCTTCAAATCAAATTGATGCTATCAGTCATTTTATTATTTCGTCTCTAAGTACGTTTCAATATTTTCGGGTGCTGTAGGTTCAGAATTTATCTGGTGTTATGATGATTGTAAATTATGAAATCTCCAATTTTGATGTACAGTACTATAGAGTATTCGTATTCTTATTCGGGTGGGTCTGGAAGGTACTGTTTATAGAGAGCAAGATTTTTTTCTGTTGCCTCCATGGGCATTGTTGACTCAAGTATTGTTCAAAGGTTTTCCACAAATTAATCAATTTATACTATTTGTACGTGCATTTCTAATCTTTGAGTGATTGCCCAAATCTGGAATTAATAGAAAGTGTTCATTTTTATCAAAATCTTCAATGGTAGGAATTATTTGGTTGAAATCCTAATTTTTATTCTCATACTGCAGTATCGTATTTCATCTCATTTCTGGTCGTACAGTATACTGCACGATACTGTGTAGAGGTCAATCGTGGGATTGACCTCAACATTTACTCACCATACTGTATTGTATACATACTGTACAGTACATACAGTATACTGTACTGTATACCTATGGATGCGTATGGACAGTACGGTACAGTCATTCGTTAATTAATTATAATTGACTGCGATTACCTTGTGATACAGTAATTGAGATCTTGTGAAGGCAGATTATAGTACTGTCATGGTAGAATGATCAACATAGTTAATTTACTGTTTAACCTATAGTTGAAGCTATGAACTTTCCATACAGTAAATCTGTGTAATGGCGGTATTGTCAACAGTGTAGTTTTGACCGTAAATATGGTATTGCAGGGTAGAGTCCGAAGCTAGACTTCGCTAGTAATGGTGATGAGTAGAATTCTTGTACTGCATCATGGATTCCATAACTATACCAGATATTCGATTCACTACTTCACCAAAAATTGGATTGAAATGGCAAGGTGAAGTATGGATTAAATAATTTATAAGATTCAATTGATAGGGATAAAGAAAAGGAGGAAAATGATTTCCTCTTTACCTACACGAATCAGGTGTGAAACATCAGATGTGACCCGTCCGTCACGCCACGGACCAGTCAAATTTGTAGCACATCAGCCTACATCAGACTACAACATCAGACCATGCAGATAATCTACAGTACAGTGAGTACAGTACAGTACGACCGTACTGTACTGTATAGTGTACAGTGCTGTATGTCGTAAATGTGATCCGTTTTCTTCGGTGTGTTTGAATAGTAAAAACTTGTTAGTAAAACGCTCTAAAAAGCTAATCGTTATGACTCTTCCTATACTGTACACATAAGTCTGTTATTGTAGAAAGTTACCCACTACTTAAGTCGAGAGCTATCCGTACATATTAAAACCATGATTTTGTGATCAATTTTTGTATCAATGCAAAAATGATAATATGGAATGTACAGTACATTGTACTGTAGACTCCGAGTACTTGTACAGTACAGTTGTACAGTATCTGTTTCACTGGAGTACTGTATTTTTAGAAACGTTTAATTAATAAAAGATCGTTTGCTCTCTCTTTTTTTGCGGCTGCTGGTAAAAAGAAATTGGGTTGTTTTTTTTGGGGGGGGGGTGCTTTTGTTTCCGAAAATACACCATGGCTATAGGAAGTTCAGTGACTTTATGGGCCAGGTTAGGGCCTTAGGCAGTTTGTACATTTGTTTTCTTTTTCACTCTATTCTCTGATTGTGGTTGTGTACAGTACCTCATTATCAGGTCGTTAGTGAATGACACGTGATAAAGTGATACGTAATACAGTAGTACAGTACAGTCAGTAGAGTACGCACTGTCGTGTGAGATGTTGATGACAACAACCATACAGTACTGTACAGTTCATTCCGCTCATTGTGGTAGACAGAGAGAGTGAACGCACCCCAATATTCATTGTACCCCATTGGTTAATAATCATCGACGTCATGGCATTGCTGACACCACAGTAGTATCGCACAGGAGGACGACAGTAGCTACATACAGTACGACAGTCATTGTCGCTGACGTGAGTATTGGACTTTGTACAGCGAGTGTGAAACAAGCGGCAAGCTATTACTACCCAATACCGACGGTAATTACTAGCGAAAACACTCATTCGTGTTTGTCGACGTTGATAGGCGACAACACCTTTCGTTGCCTAACGTTGAAGAAGAAATCAACTGTTGAACGTTCAATTAGTTAATACCCAAAGTGAATCTTTGCCCTTTTCAGTCGATGTGGTTGTACTCTACTGTTGTACATACTGCAAATAAGATTGGTCAAGCGAGAGAGTAGACTGTCAACAGCATAAAACCAAGGCGATTACAGTACAAGACTCGTCTAATAAGTAGAATTACAATCATTATAACTGGACACACATCTCTAAATGTGTCCTTGTTCAGGAAAGAGTCCATTGAAGAAAATACACCACAATTTGTAAACAACATTATTGGTGAGTCATTGCTTGTTCTCTTCTTAACAAATTATCATGATATCATGCATGGCGATTCTGTGTATTAGTGTATATAGTTGTTTTGTATTACAACACTCTTCACTTTGTCAATCAATAGCCATGTAGAATATTTCATCTTCGGCCAACTTGATAGTCATGATAAGATGGACGACACGGGTTGACGTAAATCTACCAATTTCAATTGATTGACAACGACAGTACTATGGGACAGCATGTAGAGCATACAGCATAGCTGGAGTCATATGTACATTAACTATCTAGACTCAATTAACTTTATACAGTACGTATGTCTACCACTTTATTTATTTATTCTGATTCATAGCAGCTGATGTGCAACGTCATGAATCTCCAGACCCTACTGTACATCAGTAAATCAATATAAATCAACCTAACGCGTATAACGACATTATACCTTGAACAAGTAGACGCTACTAGAACAACATTAAATCCATTGAAATACAATCGACACTCATTTCAAGCGTGCATGCATGCTTATATTCATAGTCAACTTCAGTTGAACTTTTCCAACATTGAGCACGTGGTATGTCATGGACGACAAATGATTTCATTAATAAGCCTATCCGATCATCTTTGATAGCATTAGTTAGCTGCAGGGTGTAAAACTAAAACCATTCTTTTCGTCCATCTCCTGCTGGATCCACTTGATACTCCAGTGCTGGATTTTGACTTAGTACGATCAATCGAGCAAGTGTAATAATGCGTAGACCTGTGCAATGTCAATTTCAACGACACCAAATTGGCTGATCAACTTATTTCTATAATTTTTTTTGGTGATAGATCTTCCTTACTAACAGTCAAAAATGTCTTCATTATGGCAAAACTCAGCCGCGGTTGCGGGTATTGGTGTAGCGGCGGTAGTTTCCGCAGTTTATCTCTCCAAACGTAGCGCCGCTCCAGAAATACCAGCCATTGATATCAATCATCAATCAGTGGAACTAGAGGTAAGTCATTTGTGCTGTACTGCACTGTACTCATTTCGTGTTCTGTATGAATCGAGTGGCTAGCTTAAGCTTACACAACTCCTTCTCATCGATGCTTTTACTGTCAAGTTCAATAAAATGACAGTTAATTAATGAAAGACAATGATCAATGCTCTTATGAACTACTAAATTGGGCAGTTGAATCATACTATACTGGATGGACGATGATAATAATAATCTTATACAGCATTCTGTATAGGTACTATTTACTTTTGTTTCGCAAGCTACATTTTTATTTCTAGTCTGATGATTTAGCAAGCAATGCATACTGTACGATGGTGCTGGACCTCTGTTTACTGTTGAATTGTTCCATGTGTAAACTACGGTATCTCTCTCTCTCTCTCTCTCTCTCTATAAGTATACACTGCACTCAGTGCTTAATTGCCTACTACGCAGTGACTCACTGTCATCAGTTGTTAGTAACTTGACCAAATCTTAAAATGAACTATAGGCGAATGTTTGAATTCCTTTTCTTCTACAGTATTTATTAACTCGAGCAAAGTTGTCTACGTGCTTTCCGCGTCGTCGCGTAATATGTCAGCATTCTTACCGGGAGGAGGCCTGCCACGATGCACAGTTCTGGATAAGGGTGTTATTTATGTCTTCCTATATCTGTTAATACTATTTAATACATACACTTACACTCACAAATTACACCATCATCCTCAAGGTGATTCTACGTCGGTAATATTGGCATGAGCCAGAGTTAGAAATTATAGTGCGGGACTTGCCAATTTCTGTAAGCTAGTTAAGTATAAGTGGAGGATGATGATACTAAAAATGAGACTCTTTTAAGGTGAAATTTGAACAGCTTTTACCAAGGAAATGAAAAGCTATGAACAATTTTCCATACATATTCACATCACTGTAACAAAAAAAATAATAATGTAATCTATATTGACTGCAACTCTAACCACAGACTACTAGATATTAAGGTATGACATCAGAGAGGCTAAAGATGCCTGCGGGCCTCACTCAAGTTCAAAGCTCTGCTAGATATGTGCATTTATTAATCTATGCCCTAGTTAGTTAGATAGCTATTAAAAGATGTAATGTGATATAATTTGATATTGATGGTATATTGTCCTTTAATTAGCATTAGCTGATTATATTAATTATTATGATCATTATCACAGAAATGATTTAAAAATAAATAATAAAGTCATAAGATTAGACTTCTTTTTATCACGATTAATACTGTAGTGTTGTTGCATCTTACTATGGTTAAAAATTATACTTATAAATTTTACTATTTGAGTCTCCTGTTAATTCACAGTTGTGGCTTTTTTATTCCTAATACGCGTATATAAATGTGTATATCTATAGGATGGTTCGCGTGTACATGCCGGATTAGAGGACCCTAACCAATTATTAGAGTACTTATATGAAGATTCTAAAACAGTTTTAGAGTGTCTTCACCGTGGAGCTCGTGTATCAAGTAAGATACTTACTAATTGCTACTCATCCTGATCAATGCTATGAAAATACAAACTCTTCGATTGAAGCGTTCGATTTCATAAGTATGTACTTATGGCGATTTCACATCGTTAAATGTTCCTATTCATTGCTAGACAACGGACCTTGCCTCGGTTATAGAGATGGGGATGGACCTTATCAATGGATCCACTACAACGAGGTAAAGACTGTAAAAAGTTCATTTCGAGCTATGTGTATTGAAATTCGACTTTGGACATAATCCTATCTTAAAAATATACCCTTTTATCAATATAACGATAATATGTGTAGATATACCCATTTAGACTGCACCTAAAGGTGTACGCAGCCACATATTATATTCTTAACATTAATTTATAATTTATGTAACATAGGTTATAGAAAAAGCAGAGGCAATCGGATCTGGTCTTGTATCTCTCGGTTCCAGTCCTGGAGAAGATACATTCGTTGCTATCTACTCACAGAATCGTCCTGAGGTTTGATTTGATGATTTAAATCATTTCATCTGACTTAATTGCCATTTAATGCTAAACAAATTTATTTTGTGATATAATATCCGAAAAATATTGTGTATTTCTTACACTAGTGGATTATGTGCGAGCACGCGTGTTACTCTTATTCAATGGTGGTTGTTGCTTTATATGATACGCTTGGAAAAGATTCTTGTCGATATATCCTAGACCAAAGTGGGTTGATTGCTACAATTGAATATCATCTGTATGATGAAACAATAGTACAATAGTAATACTTAACTAGCACCGCAAGGTAATTATTTTATGTCCACAATCAATTTTAATTTCAGCTAAATGCACCACTGCTATTTGCGATAATAGCGAAAAAGTTAACAGTTTACTACTGCTGTGTGACGAGCTACCAAATTTGCGTAATATTATCAAGATAGATGATGTAACACCGGAAGAAAAAGCGCGGGCTAGTAAAATAAATGTCAACCTTCTTCAACTATCTGAGTTAGAAGTATGCCCTCAGATTTCCTTTTAAACTTTGCTAGCGTTGTCTGCTTGTTTTAAAACTGTTTTATATTCTTTATTTTAATATTAAAAGGCTTTGGGTAGAAAAGACAAACATAAATTGCAGGTATTTGTTGGATAACTATTCTGTATTAATTTAATAACATCAATACTTTCAATACTTATGTGTAATAGTTGTAATTTATTAAAACGGTACTCCATTTGTTAGCCTGCAACTCCAAACAGTCTCGCAACACTTTGTTATACCAGCGGGACTACAGGTGAGTTTCGTACTAGTTTACAGCATCAGAAGTTATCACATACGACAACTAACATGGGCATAAACTTGAATATTTATTTCTTTCTTATTAGGTGACCCGAAGGGAGCTATGTTAGATCATCGTAGTGTTGTAGCTAATTCCGCCGGACTTTACAGTCAAATGAAAGTTAGTGTTGCTACAGCTTCGGCAGTTATTGTATTGTGTAATATTAAACTTTGTTGTATTTGGCTTTTACCTTTACGTAGGATTCCGTACGTATCGAACCTAATGACACGCTTCTTTCATACTTGCCTCTTGCTCATATGCTTGAAAGGGTTATTGAGGTATCCTGAAATCTTACGCATTTCCTGCTCTACTCCTCTATAAACACAATTACAATTACGATATTAACTGACATTTTTTATAGACATTAATGTATTGTGAAGGTAGTCAAGTAGCATTCTATCGTGGCGATGTAAAACTCTTAATGGATGATTTAAAATGTGCAAGGTCTGTAACCTATTATTAAGTTCATTGCCATGGTTTATTCATACAGATAAATTAATCTTTTTAACTTGCCTAGGCCTACAGTTTTTCCTTGTGTACCACGATTATTAAATCGTATATATGACAAGGTGAGCTGCGATTGCTCTACTACTACGTAGCTATTGCGTTTTCGTTAACAAATCTATGAATTTAGGTTTTGGCTGGTGTCGCAGAAAGCTGGTTAAAAAAGTCTATATTTGATATGGCCTTAAAGTATAAAGAAAGAGAAGTACAAAAGTAGGCATTTAGAGTAAAATCGTCTGTCTAGTGTTTTTACTGATTAAATTACGATTATATTTTGAAACCAACTGTTACAAATTTTCCGGTAATTGTGACCGCACTTTACTCATTCTTACCTAGAGGTATTATTCGTCAAAATAGCATATGGGACACTCTGATATTTAAGAAGGTTCAGGTAACAATCTGAACAAATACATTTAGTAATCATTAATATGTGCACAGTAGCTTTCTTACATTACTTTTTGCATTTATAGAATCTCCTTGGTGGACGTGTGCGTTTATTGGTTTCCGGTGCTGCTCCATTATCGCCGAAAGTCTTGCTATTTTTACGAGCAGTTCTAGGTGTTCCAGTAAGTTCGTACACAATTTAAGTTACCATATGAAAATAGTTCAGAACTTAATTGCTATACGTCGGTATGGTAGTACTGAATCTGTAACGTTAACCTATTGTAACTGGATTCCTGTCAGGTTCTGGAGGGATACGGACAAACGGAAGCAACAGCCGGTACAAATTTGAATGTTCTTGGAGATCCAACAGTTGGTATGCAATACTTTATAAAATTTTATCTTGTTATCTAAGCAAAGTAATTAATCATTTATAACTTGATTTTAAAAAATTAATAGGCCATGTTGGACCGCCTTCGATGTCAGTGAAAATTAAATTGATTGATGTACCGGAAATGGACTACTATATAAAAGATAACAAGGGCGAGGTAGGGCTATCGAATTTTAGCTCAATATCATATACTCTGTACTAAAATTTTAATTTTAAATTTGGATATTCAGATTTGTTTTAAAGGTCCAATATGCTTTCGTGGGTATTTCGGAAATGCGAAGAAGACAGCAGACACTATTGACAGTGATGGATGGATACATTCTGGAGATATTGGTGAATGGTTACCGGTTTGTATACGATTAATTTATTAATTTAAATTCCTGTGAAAGTATGTAATATATTATTTATCACTTCTAGAACGGTGCATTAAAAATAATTGATAGGATAAAGCACATCTTTAAATTATCGCAAGTATGAATTATTTAGGAATCGCTAATACAAATATTAATAAATGAGACTATGTGTTACTAATACTTATTGTACACTTTTAGGGTGAATATGTAGCGCCAGAAAAGATTGAGAACGTCTACATTAGATGCCCTCTAGTTGCTCAAATCTTCGTATATGGTGATAGCTTGCAGGTAGGGTGAAAAGTCAAAATACGTTCACATGCAGCATTACTCAGTTAAGGGTATTAAAATCTTGTGTTTATACTTTGTTTTAGTCTTATCTTGTAGGGATTATTATGCCAGATGAAGAATCTGCTTTTGCATGGGCATCGAAGCGTGGCCTTAAGAAGGATCTCCAAGAATTAAGTGTAAACGAGACATTCAAAGAGGCTGTTATGACAGATTTGAATCGTTTAGGAAAAGAAAATGGCTTAAAATCATTCGAACAGGCAAATAAAATACAGTTTAATCTTGGCCATACGTGCATTCAATAAAGTACTCATATTTTATATTCAATACTCATCTAGATTAAGAAAATTTCAATTCAAACTGAATTGTTCTCTGTGGAAAATGGTCTTCTCACGCCTACTTTTAAGGCAAAACGACCACAAATTAAGAAAGTATATGAAGCTGAATTGATGAAAATGTATAAGTCAGCTTAAATAAATTCAACTACTAGTTCTCACATTTAACCTTATGTACTTGAAAACTATAATCAACATTAATACATAAAATATAGTATTTCGTTTTTCCACGGCGTGAAAACATATTTTTCTAGTTGACATATTGCCGGATATATCTATACCATAATAATAATTCTTCTCCGTAGTTCATTGTTTTCATTAGTTATATCTTAGAAAATATTGCCAATATTTATCGCTGATTTTTCTGGTCTTTTATTAACTTTGGAACTGATTGAATTAAGAATCTTACTTTTATGTTGATTTCGGTCTATATTATGGCGTTTCCAACTCTACTGTTAATTTATAAGTGTACTAACTGAGATTGATCGTGACCGCAGATGTTCTGTTATCACTTAAATGTTTATCGTTAGTATTCTCCGAATTAATAGTATATTATGGTTATTATAATAATTTTATTGTTGTAATTATTTTTAAGGTAACTGGTATTTAGTTGATTTAAATATTTTGCATGTGCAAGTACCTCCTGCATGTGACATTTGACTTAAAACGCTTTTACCACTACCAGCTCATCGGCTATGACTGCATATCGTGTCAGATATTCTATTTAGAATTTAATCGGTAATATATTGTGATCACTTTGACCTATATTGATTTTAATAAAAATAATTTATCATCGCTGTATAATATTGTGGCAGTTCATATGTGTATCACAGGCGTGCGGCGTTGTAGTCCTTTAAACTAATAATGATAAAGATGTGGGACTTTTGATATACTGAACGATACTACTAATTCGTATACTACAGAAAGATATTCATATTTCGATACGGCATTATGTATACATTTATCTTCTATCTATCAACCATTTCAATTTAGTTTAAAATTATATCAAGTTATTTACATTAGTTAGTTAGTGTATTAGTGTCATGGTATGTAAGTGTCAAACAATGCAAGCGAGACTTGTCAGTATAGGTAATGTCGAATCTAGACTAGGCAAATTCTATAGTTAATCGTGCATACTTGCGTTCTATTATTATCTTATTTAGTTTTAATTCATAATTCGATATAGAATTCTAGAATACACTGCTCGTCTTGACTGGGCTAGCGTCTTTAAGAAGCTCTCGCACTTTTACAAGCTTTCTTTGAATCTTATCAATTACACCTATTTATGAACATGTATTGAAAAGTAATAATTAATAAAGTAATTGAAGTAATTATACTTAATCTCGATTGCGTGAATATTGCACAGTACTGTAGTTACTACAACTTACTTCCAATGTAATACGCAAGTTCTAAGATTTCAATGTGTGGGATGGGCTAGGATGGTGATAAACTATTCTTGTATTATTGTCAGGGCGCTCATACGTTATCTGTTTTAATCGCAAAATGTAAAATGAAAAGCATACTGTATACAAATGCTAGAGTAGTAGGGCAGGGATTATAACATGGTAGGCCTATGTCCTTCGTGTGCAGATTTCGACTGCTTTATTATTATTACATAATAGTGATCCATTTACAACCTCATTAGACTGGAGTTGTTATCTAACTGCCGTATACGCTGTATTTGTTATTCAGTGATCTCATTTCTTATCATTAGCCTATAAATATCCTTTTTATAATAATTACTCATAATACTACAGTAATGATAACAATATAGTGAAATATATTGGAGTTACTTGTAAACGATATAGCGATTGAAGAATATTAAACACTATAATCAGATATTATAGCTACATCTCGCACGAAATTGTGTAAATATGGATAAAAGTTGACAGTTTAATGTTAGCATATCGTCATCATTGAATATAACAAAATCATCAGAGTAAACTGTCAAGGCAATGATAACTGACTGGTATACACATCATTGTGATTTACACAAAGTACAGGACAATGTAATCACACCTTTCAGTTTACCATCGAATGAAAATTAAGTAGAATATAAAGCAGCATTTATGTCAATGTTACCCACTTTCATTCATCTTAGCAATGCAAAAAATACTTTATAAACTTTCTATCTTAAGTATTTTAGGATTAACTTCTAATAATATCTACTACTAGAGCAATATGAAGTTTGATTGCACAGTTGACATAAACACGATAAATGATTAAATGTGATACAGGATATAGCTTTACATCCGATTTCGAATATATGAATATCATTTTACTTTACGATTCCGAGGCAACTTTGGCACTTTCGGATGAAGTCAAGAATTGAGCAAGGTCGATGCTAGTAACTATTCCATATACAGATTGTCTTTCTGTAACTTCCTTAGAATCTAAGTTTTGATTAAATATGAAATTAGAACGAGTAATAAGGGATGACTCTTTATTAATTGTAGCCTATTGTATAAAAAATCTTGACCCGTATCCTTACAATGTTTTTGATTGTGGACAATCAAAGCAAAGTGATCACGCTCGAGAATGCGGGAAAGTTCTCCTAACGTTCTCTTTAGGGTAATCTAGATTGAATAATACATCTCTATTAACCTTAGTACGAAAACAGTCATAGCACCTGATGTCATTACTATAATAAATTAATTTTAACCATTTATACTCTATGCAAACTTTAATCTCGTGCTTCTACGTAAATTACCGTATTAAATCTTTTGTATGCCATAACGGAAATTGGATCAGTATTATTAGCTCTTCCTGCCAGTAACCAGGCTACAATACTGCCAAGTGTTACAACGCCAACAGGGACACTATTACAATATAAAAATGAACAAATAAGTCGTTGAAGTACGGTGGCGTATAGATTAGATGTTTTCGAGCGAAGTAGACTGGTAACTAAAAGACAAGTTAACATGTTCTTTGTGTTATAATCATTTGATAATTACCCTGATTCATCAACGATAGGCAATTGGTTGAATAATTCTCTATTATTAAAATTTAAAGGCATTTTATAAGATTTTTTAATACAATGTAGATATTTGTGCGTATAAACTTGATACCAAGGTTGTATTGTAAAACAATTGAGAGATTCTATTTGATTTTTACCTTTTCATGATTTCAACAACCTCACCAATGGTTACAGTAGGTGTAATAACTAAAGGGGTAGAGATATCGAGTCTGCTGACTGGTAAATTCCACCACCTAGTTTTACATATATCATACGTAAAATTTAGCATCAGCGAAACCGGCGTTTAAAGAGTTATCCATAAAGACTATAAACAGAAAAATGAGGCTTTCCATCTAACTCACCAATGTTTTAAACCAACAGCGACAGCCGGGTCTTCCATAAATCCGTTCTCTATCATCCAATCATCGTTAACGAATTTGGTCCTATGTTATAGTATAAAAGAGGATATCACAGCTTAACTGCAGGGATTCTACCAACGCAATCTTAATCATTTATCCTAATTTATGAAAAATCGCTGAAACATAAACGAACATGTAATTACGAATGGAGTCCGGGAGGATGACTACGCAAGTTTGATTTTCATTTAAGTCTTTGGCAGTCTGCAACGCTATCGAGAGAGCACTACCACTAGAACCGCCTAAGCATAGCCACATAAAGAGGTAAGAATACGCGTATACAGTAATTACTGAAAGACTTTAGAGATGAAATGTTATCTAGGGAGGGCATTGTAATCGTACCACACAGTAAACCCTCCTCTCGAATGAGATATCTTGCATATTCGAATGAATCTTTGTCATTACACTTGTACCACTGATCCACAACATTTCGGTCTATAACTGTTGGAATGAAGTCGTATCCAATGCCTTCCACCTTGTGAATAATTATAAAATTATCAATTAGTCACATACTGAAACGCTTATTTTATATTTACTACTAATAATTAAAATGTACATGATATCCTGAGGAATCAACGTTCAATTCTTTCGGTTGAGCAAGGATCGATCCTAATGGATCCACTCCGATAATCTTTTTTGTAAAAATGTGATAAGACATACAGCATTTTAAATTATGACGATTTATCCCGCCGTCAAGATATATCAAAGGTTACATTATACATATTCTTTAAAAGTTTCAAGTAATACCTTGACATTTTTAATCTTTTCCTTTAATTTCCGACCGATACCGCTAACAGTTCCACCAGTTCCGGCCCCAGCAACCAAAACATCAATTTTACCTATTAAGATGTAAATCATGAGTGAAATTAAAACAAATAGGGCAGCTAGAATACATAATTGTGTGATTGCATAATATCATAAATCATTAAAAATTATTAATTTTTTGCACTTACTATCGCATTGATACAATAGTTCTTCGGCAGTAGTATCGTAGTGTGCCAATGGATTGCCGGCATTGACGTACTATGCAATAAAACGTGATAATTTTGAATAGTGTCAATAATATTAGCGTTCGTTGTTAAAAAGATTATCTAGTTATCAAACGTATTTTACGGTGAAGCTGCGGACTAACACTATAAATCTGCCAACCTGATTTAAAATTATAGCATTTTTAGTTTCTTTCTGTAATCTTTCAGCGACCGCAATATGCGATTCTAAATTGAGATTAATATATATACAATAATGTATTAGGATAGTTGATGGGCCGAATAGAAAACTTTTTTCTCAAAATTTACAACATCGACATTATACTCGGTATAAGGAATTCATTTTTAAGGTGAAAAGTCGCTGATACTTTAACTTATGAGAAATGTATCATCTTGAAAACTACTGTAATCAATTATTATGATGGTATGCTTTTTAATTAATACTAAACCTGGCGAATCGAAGCTAGCATTAGTTGGAGTTCGGACGATTTCAGCTCCTAAAGCCCTTAGCGTCAAAACCTAGTAGTATAACAGATCAACTATTTATAACATGATTGATTACGGATTGCATCTGTAAACAATACGAATAGGAAATTTCTTTTCCATGACGCATACATTGATTATAATTAACCTTTTCTGCGCTCATTTTTTCTGGCATAACAATAATACATCGGTAGCCTTTAACCGCCGCAACGAGGGCTAAACCAATGCCTTAAATCATTTAGGAAATTGTATGATATTTTAATTGTGTTACCCCTACTACTGTATACTGTAATAACGCCATTATTGGCTGAAATAAACTTAATACAACTAGTGTGAAATGAATTAATAAACCATGTGATGTTACCAGTATTTCCCGAAGTTGGCTCGATCAATGTATACCCTGGTTTAATTTTTCCTTCTCTTTCTGCTTCTTCTACCATACGCAAAGCAATGCGATCCTTGACAGAACCGCCAGCATTCATAAATTCGCACTTTGCCACTAGAAAACAAAGAGGCATACATGCATCAAGATTTTATATATAAAATATACATTAACATGAGCGTCATGCAAACGAGTTGTATCCGATAGTTGCTACCAGAGGTGAACTACTCGATTTACCTACAGTAGTTTAAGGCGCAGTATTTTAATCAGGTCAAAAGAGTAGGTAATATGCAACGATAGCGTCAACATTCTATAAAATATTGTATACTTACATAGTCTACATTTTAAGCCAAATTTCTTTTCAATTTTATTTAATCGAACAACAGGTGTAAAGCCTATGTTATCCAATGCTGTTTGTCTGACTTTGTCATTGATTTTCCTATAAAGTAAAATAGCAAACGCCGATGAGCAAAATTTTCATTTAATCCTGTGCTCAGTATCGTCTAGTATAATCGCTAAACTGGATTCCATACAGTAGTTAATTTGAGATGCTATAAGAGCACAAGAGACACGTTGATTGAGAAATTTTTGAATCATAGGCTCCTACTATCGCTCCACTATTATCGAAGATGGTAGGATTACGATGGATATGCAGCTGCATTTACTGTATGTGATCAACTTGACTATAGACTGTGAGTATTGATGTTCTTGTTATGCAGTCCATGGTCAATTGTGGCAGATCGATCAGAGTTTACGAGTAGTTGTATGAATAAAATCTTAACACGTAATGTGAGATAGTAACAATATCGGATGTATTTTACCTAATTTGGTTGATTGACCATTTCTTACTTAGCGAAGAAATTGCTTTAAGAGTAGAGAATAACAAGAGTTGTAGGTCTTAAGGGGACAGCACTCATGCCTTACTAAGTACAGTAGTGTAGAGTAACGACCACAAAAGTTTAGAAAAGGAGTAGCAGTAACAAATGTAAAAGTGTTTGAACGTTAAGCAAATGCTTCTTCTTCAGGTATTTTCCAACATGTTGAAAGGAGTTTATTTTCCAGCTCCATCGTCAAGTCGTTGATGTATCTATTGGTGTGCGTTCTTGTGCTCAAGTTAGCGTAGGCCCCGGGCGGAATGATTGGTGCTAATGTTCTTCTCTGCTGTGTAGTACCTTGCTCCCAGTACTGTATAGCAATAGGTTCGGTGGACTGTTGTTGTAGCAAAAGCATTGCTACTGTCTAGTCCAACTCAGCAATTGGTTAATGTACGCTTTTAATGTATTGAAACTATCAGTGGTAACAAGGTCAATATGTTCAACTACTAAGAGAAGAGAAAAGAAAAGAAAGTAGACTAAGAGTTGAAATTGAACTTTTGTAGGAGAAATAAGACAGTAAGATACTGCAGTCAAAGGGTGAGTGAGTATGGTATGCAAGATGGCAAAGCAATCCAGTAACAGACTGTTTGTTTAACCTGTACACAGTATGCGGTCTTGGCAAGCTGTGCTTGGATTTGATAGATATATTTGTACTAAAATAAGTTAGTGAACATCGTCCATGATGATCATCTTTCTCTTTTCTACTATTCAAGAAAGTAAGAGAAGATGCTTCAATGTATGTTTCAGTTCACGGTAGCGAGCACCAACAAGATTGAAGATCGAAAGGGGGGGAAAAAAATGAGAAAATTTTCGATTGTCTTTCGTCTCACTTGATGATGAGGCTGTATAATTTGAAACGACTTGTTCAGTATGACATAGTCAAGTGGATTGGCCATAGTTTTACGCCATGTTGAATAATGTACTCGTCATCAAGACTAGAAATAGAGCATGATTGATGTCAAGGCGAGTATCCAACCTTACCGAACTTGATGATGATGCGGCGAATTGGCAGTCGTGTCTAACGCCCAAGTACATTTAGAAGGTCGATCAGGCCTATCTCGTAATCCACTTTGACTTTCAGAAGTAGCATCCGACATAATTTTCAATTTTTTCTCACAAGATTGGCACAGTTGTCAAATATCCACAAGGGAATGGAAGTCAAAATCGCTTTCAATTGCTTGAACTTTCTGGACTTGAAATTGGATCGACGGCAATGGACTCCAATCGGACTGAGTGACACACTAGTAGCGTGTCAACTGTAGTAGTGGGAATGACGCTCGTATGGAGAGTGAAGCGAGTAACGTAGACGACACTGTCGAGTCGACTGCAACAACAGACTGAGTGACACACTAGTGGCGGTGTCAACTGTAGTAGTGGGAATGACGCTCGTATGGAGAGTGAAGCGAGTAACGTAGACGACACTGTCGAGTCGAGTGCAACAACAGACTGAGTGACACACTAGTGGCGTGTCAACTGTAGTAGTGGGAATGACGCTCGTATGGAGAGTGAAGCGAGTAACGTAGAGTCGACTGCAACAAAGGACGAGTGACACAGTAGTGGCGTGTCAGCAGTAGTAGTGGGATGACGCCAGTAACGTACACGACACGACACTGTCGAGTCGACTGCAACAAAAGACGATTGATTGGTCAAGGGCTGCGTGACGATATCAAGGTGGCCTGTCATGTGGTCAATACGCTCCTGGAGAGAGTATCACATCGCATTCAATACATTACAGTCAGTACGCGCGCCTACACCTTTTCCATGCCTCGTGCCACATCAAAACACCTGCTCGATTGTGGTGCTTTTCTGGACCATGACGGACACGGATCGGTACTAGTAGGTACCGTTTAATGGAAAGGCGTGCCCAAACGTAACAGCCAGTCAAAAACGGCGAGAGGGACATGTCCCCCCTTCCCTTTTTCAAAGCGCTATTAATTGCACTGTTAAGACATACGTACGCCCCCCCCCCAAAAAGGCAAAAAGAAAAAGTTCTTTCTTGGACTAGAAAGACCCTCAGGCAAATGATTTCACTACTTTCACTGCCGTCACTAAAGCAGAACAAGATGGAGGGACGATTGGATTGTTTTCTAATCGCTTTATTGTAGAGTCGTTTCTTTTTTTTGGGGGGTACCTTGATGATTGCTTTAAACAATCGGACATGGGTAGAAATTACATACTGTATGTTTTCCCAATGAAAAACTTGGTGATATCCAAGAATGTCCATTCTGCCACACCTGGTAATGGTAGTAAATGGCCACATCCACTGTAGGAGAGTAGATCATACTATCCTTGAAACTACAATTGTGGGTTAAGCGTATTGAAATGAAGGATTAATGTTGTTGGAGATGTGCTAGATACCTGCCACTATCGTGGTAGCCATTGGGCGAGGGGAGCCTTATTTCGGTCAAGATAGTGTACTGTATGACAGCTTTTCTGACTAGCGATCTATCTTGATTTACAGCTATTGTAGTCAGCGACTTTATTAAAGATACTGTACACAGCATGGATTAGGAAATAGACAGCTGTGCCAATTAAATGCCAGTCTTGCCATGTGTCAAAGTCTTGTGGTTACTGGATGGATATTTCCAATTTGTGCCTAATGTTAGGGTTTGATTGCATTACACAATAAGAAAATAAATTTCCTTCAATGAAAAAACAATCTCGTCTACGGATTCTTCCACACTCCATTCACAATGATATGTGTGCAGAACAGCTTGATCGCATCAATACATTCAAGAAATGCTTGATGTTAAAGCCAATTTCTACTCAATACTGAATTGATTACAGTATACAAGTGATATAGATCTTATGGTCAATGTCCAATCAATGGGGTAGTGTGGATTACAACGGAACATTAGTTCCATCACTGCATGGTAGCGCAACAAACATTTTCAATCAGTGCGACGCCATTCAAGCCAATGATAATCAATAAATCAATACCTCACAAAACCATGATCAGTGTTTGATATCACGCACATCTACCTAAATCCGCTACTGTTATCCATAATTACTACCTTTCAATAAGCCACATACAGATATAACCAGTCGATGTATTGCACCCAAAATCCATTTGTGGCTCAACAACCGTCCAATGTCCACAGTAGTTAACCAAGAGTAAAAGTGTGCATCAATAATAACTCATGATTTTGGTTATACTGCCGCCACAATTGTACTTAACAGCTAAAAGAGATAACCAATTTGCTTCCACAGACTACTACAATAATTGGCATTTTATTGTATGCATGAATCATCTTTATCTCAATATTTATAACAATCGTAATACTTATTCATATATCATCTCTATAGACAATCACTGAAAATTAAAAGTACTACGACTAGTAATTCATTAGCCATTCGATATTTACTAACGTCTCATTTTGTGACTAAACTGTTCCAAAGGGAGTAAAATCAAATAGGCTAGTTTCCTCCTACTTCCATACAATTGGAATGCAGCTAGGAACCTTAATTATTCTAAACCGATCCAGGGCTACATTGATACTTTCGATATGGTAAATACTTGCAGAATAGACTTTGTATTTTATATTGGCTTAATCTTTCCTATGTAGGTACTGTGCGCAGTAGCCGACACTCAACTGCCAATATACTATAATTATATCGCAAATCAATTCGTTCAAAAGTCATGCTATTAAACCGATAATAGTCATCTTATTGCCATTATAACCTCGTACAGTGTATGGTTTGAATTATAGTACAATATCAACAAAATATGGTGGCATACCTAAACGCTACATGTTATCGCTAATAACAGTCTAGAATCAATTTTTGAGAGAGCGAAAGTAGTCCGGCGCCATTTCCGATAGCCACTCTGGTTCAATAAGACTTAAATCTCTCATATAACATTTGGTTGTTTGAACTAAATCGGTATATACAACATAGGCCGGCTTAGCGCCAAATAAGCATGAGGTTGGATGTATAGCTACTGGTAAATGATTAGCAATGGTGAGGTATCCACTGTCCGTTTGCAGTTCAGCTGTATTTAAAAATAATCCAGCAAGAAGGCACCGTCTTACTAATGAAGTATCGTGATTACAAGATACCAATGGTATCCCAATCGTTTGGCATATCTGGCATAATTGTTGACGAATAGCTATAGCACTTTTCATGGCGCGAATGTTAATAAAGTTCTGATAGCACCAATCTTTGCTACCTTTCGCCGATTTAAAAGCTTTATATAGATTTAATAAAGTAACATGATCCCCTTCAGATGATGTTAATTTTCTTCTTACTTCCAAAGCTTGTTCACGCTTATCATAAGGCGTATACAATATTGAATCTTCAGAAAGTAAGGCTACAAGTGTAACTATCTCTTCTGTACAGTTGTAATTTTTAGCCGTGAGAAGAATTTTGGAGAATCGTGGTTCAAGCGGAAATCGAGCCATAGTTTTACCTAATTGAGTCAACTGAATATAGTCCATTTTTTCCACTGCACCTAATTGATAAAGTTGTTCAAGTGCATTGCGTAAATTATTAACTGGTGGCCTATCAATAAAATCGAAATTGATTACATCCTTGATACCAATGGCTAACATTTGCAAAGCAACACCAGTTAGGTTACATCGTTGTATTTCTGGTCTCGTATGAGACGATAGCTCGTGATACGAATCTTCAGTGTACAGCCGATAGCACATTCCACTTGATTCTCGACCCGCTCGGCCAGTACGCTGCAGTGCTTGATCTTTGGCAATAGGTTGGACAGTCAAAACATCAAAACCAGTACGTGAATTATATTGTCGAACTTTGACCATACCGGTGTCAATGACAATTTTAATATCTTTAATTGTAACCGAAGTCTCGGCAAGATTTGTAGCTAGGACTACCTTGCGACTATTAGACGGAGAAGGCTCGAACACTTTCATTTGCTGACGTGGTGGTAGTCCAGCAAACATTGGACAGATTAGTATTTCTGCTACATTATTCACTAGATGCTTCAGATGACTTTTAAGCAATCTCTCTAAAGATTCAATCTCTTCTTGACCGGTCAAAAATACTACAATTCCCCAATGGGGTGGATGGAGCTTGTGGACTTGAAGGATAGCTACTAGAGCAGAATGGAGATAATCTGGTTGAGGCTGAGAGGTATACATAATTTGTATTGGAAATTGTCTGCCTTCGATATAAATAACTTTGGCATTATCCAGATAATTGATAAAGTGTTGGGGATCCAATGTTGCAGACATAATCATAATCTTAAGTGGATTTAATTGCGGATTAGTGGCCCTTAACTGTTGACAATTTTTAATAACACCAAATAAAATATCTGTATGGATGGTACGAACATGAGCTTCATCTAATATTATGATATTGTAGCGGCGTAATAACTGATCATTCATAGCTTCGCGTAGTAACATGCCATCAGTCATATATTTAATTTTGGTAGCAGGTGAACTAGTATCATCGAATCGCACAGTATAGCCAACTTTAGAACCTAAGCGAGTACCCATCTCTGATGCTACCCGTTCTGCAATAGTGACCGCAGCAACACGTCGAGGTTGTGTACAAGCAATAATGCCATTACCGCCTAAACCGCTATGATACAGAAATTGAGGTATTTGTGTTGTTTTACCACTACCAGTTTCACCAATGACAATTAAGGATGCATTATTTTTAACCTGCAAGCAAATTTCTTTTCTCACTGGGTAAATAGGTAAACGTTTCCTTTCATTAGCAAGATTGGCTGTAATCTTTTGCATGTCCTTAGTACGAAATTTTTCGGTTGTGTTACTATTCCATTTTTGTTTGTTGTCAAGTAGTCCAGTGTGCAAATTACCTTGCTTCATATCATCATTATTAGTAGCCATCGTTCAAGTCGATATTGCAATAATCAGCCAAGTTCTATCGATTCATTAACTATCCTATTGGGTGAGTAGTGATCGGTACAGATAGAGCATCCCATGCGAAGCAGTGATGATTAAAAATAGAAAATTGAAGATTGTCAATATGCTACACTATTACTGTACTTATTCGTAGTACTGTATCGCGACAGGCCATGTGCTGTACTTACTGCTATTCTTGTCCACTTTTTAAAGGTACGTATTATTCATCCTTTGCAATTCAATTTTCATACAAGTTTTAGCAC